TACCTCCAAGCTACAAGGCATGTGGGCTCCAGCAAAAGACAAAATGGCTCCAAGGCACCTCTGAATAGAAGGCTCCCTAGCATCTTGCTACTGGTAACTTTCTGTGGTTGTATCCTATGGAATCTGGAAAATCTCCCTTTCTGATCATGGCCTTGGGAACCCTTTTGCTTCTCAGCATCCCTCTTGTGTGTAGTATTTTCACAATACAGCCATTTATTAGGCAAAAGCTGTTAGGGCAGCTAGATGGTACAGTGAGTAGAGCACACTGGGCCTGGAATCAGAAAGACCAGAGTTCAGATTTGACCTCAGACACTAGCTGTGTGACTCTGGGCAAGTCATGTAACCTCCACCTGCATCAAACTGGAGAAGGAAATGGCAAACCACTCCAGTATCTTTGCCAAGAAAACCCCATGGACAGTATTAAAATGATAAAACATAGGATACTGGAAGATGAGTTCCTTAGATCAGAAGGGCCTGGCATGCTATGGTCCATGGGGCCATGAAGAGTCAGACATGCCTGAACAACAACAATGTATGTACAGATACAGGTATCAAAGTAGGCATATTGGAAGCATAGTCTCATTTCATTGATAGTTGCCTCCAGTTTCTCCATCTTTTTGCTATCTGTGCTACTGTCCCCAGTCTTCAAGATGGAGTCTTACCTGAGTAACCTGTTATGGGCATATTAAAGATCTTTCTTGATAGGGGAGTGTAGGTCAGAGGAAGGAGATGGTACTGGACTGCCACCATCCCAAAGGTGGGCAGTAGAAGGGCATGTAAAGGGTTGGGGGGGGGCGGAGGAGGGAGGTGGCAACATGAAGAGGAATGCACACCAAAAACAGCTATCCCGATCCAAAACAATTTTTTAATGCAGAAGAAATGGAGAAAATAGCTTCTGCTCCTGAGTTTTCCCAGTTCTTTTAAGCCTTTCTAAATGCATCAAATGTTATTTTATGAGTAAAGTACACTATCACAAATATTTATTGAACGTCCCTCACATTGTAAGGTCAGAGGGCAATATGACATAGTTCAGTAGTGTTCAAATAGAAACTGGGGGCAGCTAGGTGGTGCAGTGGATAGAGCACCAGCCCTGGATTCAGGAGGCCGTGAGTTCAAATCTGGCCTCAGACACATAACACTTACTAGCTGTGTGACTCTGGGCAAGTCACTTAACCCCAATTGCCTCACCAAAAAAAAAAAACAAAAAAACAAATAGAAACTGGGCCACTAATTAGTATATAAGGATCCCTTTGAGCCTCATATTGACTTAGTTTTAAAGTGTTATATATATTTTATTGTATTTTTATTTATTTTGTTAAAAATTTCTCAAGTACACTTGAATATGGTTCTGGCTGACAGTGTTGCACCTGGCATGTTTGACATTTCTGATATAGTTGATAGAGGACAAGCCTGGGGTCAGGTAGATCTACATTTAAGTCCTGTCTTAGACACACACTATGTGACCCTGGGTCAGTCAGTCAGTAAACATTTATTAAGCGCTTACTATGTGCCAGCTGTTGTGCTAAACACTAGGGATACAAAGGATAGCAAAAGATCTTGTTTTCTAGAAGCTCACAGTCCAGTGGGGGAGATAACATGTAAACAAACTGAAGCATACATTGGGGAGGATGGAGGAAAGGTACTAGCATTAAGGGAGGTCAGGAAAGGCTTCTTGTAGAAGGTGGGATTGTAGCTGGAACTTGAAGGAAGCCAGGAGGCAGAGATGAGGAGGAAAAGCATTCCAGGCATGGGGGACAGCCAGTGAGAATGCCCAGAGGCAGAAGATGGAGTGTCTTGTGCAAGGAAGAGCGTGCAGTCAGTCTACTGCAGAGTACGTGGGGAGAAGTCAGGGAGGTGTAGGGTGTAAAATTAGAGGTGGAGATATGAGTTCAGTTTTGTACATGTCGAATTTAACATGTCTATACGCAATCGAGACGTCCAATAGGCAGTTGGAAATGAAAGACTGGAGGTCAGGAGAGACGTTAGGACTAGATAAATAGATTTAAGAATAACCAGCATAGAGATGATACTTCAGTGCATGAGAGCTGATGAAATCACCAGAAGAATTTGTGGAGAGGGAAAAGAGAAGTGAGCCCAGGACAGACAGAGTTGGTAGGTTTGACATGGATGAAGATCAAGTAAAGGAGCCTAAGGAGGGGTCAGGTAGAAGAACCAGGAGAGACAAGCGTAACAAAGAGAAGCAGGCGATAGTGTCAAATTCTGCAGGGGTCAAGAGGGAAAAGGATTGAGAAAAGAGCATTAGATTTGGCACTTGAGATCACTGGTATCTTTGGAGAAAGCAGTTTTGGTTAAATGATGAGGTTAGAAGCCAGACCGTAGAAACTAAGACAGTGAGAAGAGAGGAAGTGGAGGTATCACTGGTACATGCCCTTCCCAAGGAGTTTAACCACAAGAGGAAAGAGATGTGAGACAGTAGCTTTCAAGGATGGAGATATGGGCATGTTTGTAGGCAGTAGGAAGCAGCTAGTAGACAGGGAGAGATTGAAGACAGAAGAGGGAGTGGAGATGATAAAGGAGGCAACGTGCAGGAGAAGATGGGATGGAAGGGATCACTTGTTCATGTACAAGGGTTTGCCTTGGCAACAAGAGCTGCTTCCTGGGGTGAAAATGGAAATTAAGGCAGAAGGCATCTATGTGATGTTAGATGAAGAGGAGGGGAAAGGAGGGAACTCTCAGTGAATAGTCTCAATTTTTTCAGTGAAATATGAGGCAAAGTTCTCAGCTAGAGATTGGGAGGAGGAGCCATGGGAGATTTGAGAAGGGATGAAAGGTTAGGAAAAACTACTGTGGTGAATGGGATAGTGAGGTAAGAAAGGATTGCCTTACCACCGGGGAGGGCCCGTTTGAGATTATGTAAAATAAATGTATAGTGGATCCAATCAGCACAGTTTCCTGATTTTATTCAGCTTGGTTCAGTGGCATGTGAGTAGGAGCAAAGGTAACAGATACTGGAAGCAATCCAGGGCTGAGGGTTGGCAGGTCAAGGTCAAAGATAGGATAAAGGGCCCCACTCCAAGTGTTTTATAAATGTTGAATGACTGAGTAGAGACCAATGATAGAATTCGGGGTAAGGGAAAACAGCAACCAGTTGGGTTGGCACATAGAGCACGTGAATGGGAGTAATGTGAAATGAGCCTAGGAAGCTCAGCAGGAGCCAGATTGGGAAGTGCTTTAAATGTTAACAGAGGACTTGGTATTTACCATAGAGGAAATGGGGAGCCCCCGGAGCTCATTGAGAAGAGGAGTGATATGGTCTGACCTTTTGGAATATCAGTTTGACAGCAGTGTATGAGAGGGATTGAAGAGGGAGAAACAGGAACCAGAGTAGAAGACCACTTAAGAAGCCCTTGTGATAATCTCAATCACCTATTGAGTGATAAGAGCCAGAAGCAGGGGAGGGGAGATGAGACAACCAGGGGAGGTGGTGGTGATAGAGTCCACATGATTTGGCAGCTACTTGATGAAATGTGGGAAGTATGGGAAGATTTAAGGATTATTTCAATGACTTTTGTAAAAAAAAAAAAAAAACAGAATCATTAGAGCATTTTTCTCATGCCTGCAAGATGCTGGCATTAGGCACTGCAGATACATGGATCAAAACTGAACAGCCCCTGACCGCAAGCTGTGCACACAAGTCAATACAAAATACGGCCAAAGAAATACAAAGGACTTTTATTTTTTGTTGGGGGTGGGGAGATTAATGGCAATAACCTTGAGGAGGTCTCCGAAGACTATGTAGGAGAGTGGTATTTGAACTGAAGCTTGAAGGGAGCTAGTGATTCTAAGAGGCAGAGGTGAAAGGAGCATATTCCAGGTGGGAGTAGGGGTGGGGGTTGGGGTGGGGATGGGGAAGCCAGTGCAAGGTCACAGAAATGACAGAAGTGCTTGAGAAAGAGCAAGTACAGAGGTTTGGCCGGAACATGGAGTGGACATGGGGATATGCAAGATAAGTCTGGCTAGATAAGTCTGTCGGATCCAGTCTGCTAAGGGCTTTCAACGCCACACACAGGAGTTTGTACTTTATACTAACGGTATCTTGGGAATCCTAGATTTACAACTAGAAAAAGCTGTAACTATCATTGTATCCATCCCCTATATTACTGTTCAGATAAGGGAACTGAGGCTCAGAGGGCTGAAGGGACACGGCCAGGATCGTCCCTAGCTGGAGCTTTCTTGAGAAGGCTTCACAAAGCAATCTTTGCAGCTAGCAATACACCCATCCAGGCCGCACCCCCACCCTCAAGGGCTCTTAACTTTTTTGTGTGTCCTGAATCCCGTGGGCAGAATCATATTTTTAAATACATAAAGTAAAATGCATGGGATTACAAAGGAAACCAAAGGTTACTGAAAGTAAAGTCATGTTTTTTTCCCATCCAAGTTCTTGGACAGAAATCTATCCACCGACCTCAGGTGTCCCAAGAAGCAGCCCTTAGGCGGGAGGACGGAGATGCCCAAGGTGGGCTCTCCTAGGTGTGGCCGGTGTCCAGGGAAATGCAGCGGGTCCTAGGTGGGGAAGGAGCATCCTCCCCAGAGGCAGGAGGCGGGGAAATCCCGTGGGCGCCAGCTCCTCCCCTCCCCTCCCCTCTCGGCCCGGGGAGTAGCCACCCCTGCGGGGGCCAGGCGCGGAGCCTTGTGGGTAGCAAGGAGTCGCCAGGTGACTGCTAATGGCGGCGGTGGCCGCGGCGGCGGCGGCGGCCGGGCTTGCAGCAGGAGAGCCGCTGGAAGGGGCTGCCTGACGCCGTCCTAGGCGGACCGCAGAGCGAGTGCGGCGGCCCCAAGCAGCTCCTGGCGAGCCCTCTGCCCGCTTCCTCTTCCTCCTCCTCCTCCTCCTCCCCCCCCCCTCCCGTGCAACCCCTTAGCAGCTCGCGTTGGCGAGGCCCGAGCCAGCCGCCCCCCAGCTTCGAGGCGCCGCCATGGACTCGGGGGCGCCGGGCGCGGACGGCGGCGGGGGCCTGGGCGGCTTCGGAACCGGCCGGAGGCCTCCGCGGCCCGTGGGCGCCCTGGCCGTGGGCTCGCGGCAGCCCAGCGTGGAGACCCTGGACAGGTGAGGCGGGGGGTGGGGCGAAGGGGCCCGGGGGCCCGGGGCAGGGGTTGCGCGCGGCGTCCAGGCCGGGCCCCCCAACTGTCCTGTCTCTCCTGCGCCGCCCCGCCAGCCCACATGCTTCACCTGCCCTCTTGGGGATGCAGGACGACTTCTTGCCTTCAGTTCCCCCCACTCCTGGGTTTTAGTTTTTTAGGGGTATCTTGCGCCCCCTCCTCCCCCGGGCTTTGGCTGGACCTCCCTCAGTCAACAAGCGTTTCTGAAGCGCTTTCGATGCGCCCGGCTCTGCCAGCAGCGGGGGATGCTAAGAAAGAAAGGCAAAGCCTCGCAATGATCCAGGTGAGACTTGGGAGCCCCGCCCCACCCCCACCTGCTGCTCCTGATCTTGCCAAGTGTTCTGAGTGTTTGCCCAAGTAACTTGCTCTTCTAGTTACACCCTCGGATTGCTGGCGAAAACCTCCTTGTTTGCCCGCCTTATAAACCTTTCTTCCGGCCCTATATATTTATTTATTTAAGGAAAAGTGTTGTAAGTTTCAAATAGTAAGTTAGTATTTTGTTTGGGGTGGAGGGGAGGGATGCGGATTCATACACCTTTTAAAACTGGACTGGTGGACTCTGTACTCTTTCAAGGCCATTTGTGAGGGTAAGAAAGCAGATTCTTCCTTCTCAGAATGAAACTTCTTAAAACAAGTTCTTTATTCTCATCTACATTTGACATATAAGGAATCTGCAGCAGAAAATCACCTCTCCAATGGGAGCACACTGAACAACCGAGGCAGAGCAATGGGCTATCTTGGGACCTGATTCTCTGGTTTGCCCACTCGTTGCTGTTTCATTGACAGCCCTGGCACTAGAGGGAATTATAAGGAGGAAGAAAATACCATTGAAAATTTGGCAGTTTCGAATATTGACTTCCTATATCTTAGTCATCCCAAAGTGCTTGAACTTTAGGGAGTTCCCAAAAGAGTGAGCAACGAGAAAAACTTCTTCGCTTTGCCGTTGGCTCACTCCCCTTTCTGGTTGCCTCGTTAAAAAAAAAAAAAAAAAAATGACTACCTGTGAATCTATTGTTTACAACTTATTTAACAATGAAACTAGAAACTTTAATAATGCTGTGAATTTTTGGGTGATTGGCATACTTTTTTGTGACTTTGGACACTCTGTCTAGCCGGTCTTTTCATTATAGCTTATAATGACCAGGAATTGAGTAATTAGATCACATAATGGTAGAGCTGGGAGGGGAAGAAACACAAACATTCCTTAAGCCAACCTCCACTTTTTATATGTAACTAAAACCAGTACTGGTGAACTGCAGAGCTGGAACTAGAACCTTCCTTCTGGATGCCAAGTCTGGTGCCTTTTCAACAAATTACTTGGAAACGGTTTATTTCAAATCCCAGATATTTACATTGAAGAGTAGGAACCACTGGAAGAAAAATGGCAATCAAAACAACAGTGTAAAAAAGTTCTAATCAACCAAGAAAATAAATAGGACTTAAGGTTAAATAGAAAAATGAAAATCTGCCCTTTTTCCTGTTTTCTCCCTGTTGCTGAAGAAGAGAGCAGGTAGAAATAGTGATCTTTAGATAGGATGATTAAATGTATATGTGTGTATATATATATTATATATATATTTATATATATACACACACACATATATGCACACATTATATATGTATATATAATATACACATATATATGCTAACTGATACTTTATTGTTCATAGATTTAGGAAGAGATGTGCTTTTCAAAGGTCTGGAAAGTTTCTTTACTCTGACAACTGTAAAGTAAACACATCTTTCCTTCTTTCTTTATTTCTTAATGAATACTTGTGTGACTGGTTATATATGTTAACAGAGCCTTGCCATATGTATGATCAGGGATTACAGACTGAGAGTTAGAATGAACCTTGGAAGTCTTTTAGTCCAACCTACTCATTGTACAGAGGAGGAAACTGAGGCTCAGAGAGGTTAAGTAAATTACCTAAAGTTGCCCTGGTAGCAGGGTTTTTACCCAAGGCTTCTGATTACAGATCTAGTTCTCTTTCCTTAGTACCACACTGCTCTTCAACCTGATGACTCATTGATTAATCAAATGAACAAATATATGAAAACTTTCTGAAAGGGTGGTTATGTTGAAAATAGCATAATGCATGGTGGTACTTGGATAAATTGTACTGCTGGTTTGAACTAGAAAATGAGATATAACCTGAAGTTATCTTGGAATCTAAATTAGCTTTAGAATAAATATATCAGCCAACAAGCATTTATTTAGTGCCTCCTGTGTACCATGGGATGAGCCAGGTAATGGGGACACAAAGACAAAAATGAAAGTAAAAACCAAACAGTCTCCACCCTCCAAGAAGGGGCATCTCATCATGGGAAATAACATATACACAAATGAGAATATGCAAAGTAAATAAAAACAGTACCATTAGTTGGAGGATGACCTCGCTGTTTAGGAGTGGATCAGTAAAGGCTGATGTGGGAGGTGGTGCCTGAACTGAGCTTTGCAGGAAGCTAGACAGTCTGAGATGGGGGTGAGGCAGGAACAGGAGACAGACACCCTGTGTAAAGGAACAGAGGCGGAAGGTGGAGTGTTATGTAAAGAACAGCAAGAAAGAAGGCCAGTTTGACTGGACCACAGACTGGAGGAAGTCTTGTTATGTGTAATCAACCTGAATTCTGGTTTGAGACGACTCGTCTTTACAAGCTTTAGAAGGCACAGGAGTTTGTACTTTCCCCTCGGTGCAAGAGGAAGCAGCTGAAGCTTATGGAGCAGTAGTGGGACACAAACCTGTGCATTAAGAATTTCCCTTTAACAGCTGTGGAGGAGAGAGCAGAGAGGGGAGACAGTAGAGTTAGGGAGACACCCAGTAGGAGATTGGTAGAATAGCCCAGGGAAGAGGTAACGAGGCTCTGATCTAGGGGGTGGCCCTGTGAGTAGAAGAAAGGGGATCAATGTGAAAGAAGAGATACAGTCGACTTGATGGGGTGGGGGGAGGGAGGTAGCCAGAGTGAGGAATATTGCTTTTCTATACAGCCAGTAGTAAAAGCAGGACACTCTTCCTTAGGGAATCTTCCTTGAGTGGGCACCCTCCGAATTGTTTTTGTAATTCTATCTCTGAATAGATATTGATAGTTAAGGGGGTATGGGAGAGTACTTCTACATTTTTCTTTAGGTCAAATAAAGCATTACGCCTAGGAAGCAACAGCTCCTGCTATAATAGGAATTGTTCTACTTCCACGAACTTCCTGTTCTCATCGTGTTGAGTTGGTGTTGGGTTTTCAAAAGCTTTCTATGCCAATGGCACATACTACACTACCAAGCATGAAAAGCTCAAACTCTAAAAAGACTGTGCCATCCATGAACCAGTTTTTCAGAGAGGCTCATCACCAAAGTATCGGCCACCAGGTGGGAAATCTTTTCAGCCACAGCAACTCCTGAAGGCAATCTAAAGTTTAAGGGAATACTCCGGAAATCTCAGCTTCTGGGAGTGTGCTAACATTGTTGTTAGCTTTCATGAGGCCTTCCAACTATTATTCAGTAAGCATTTGGGTGCCTACTTGGTGGAGAACTACTTGTGAATGTGATTCACTAAGATTGACTTTCATAAGTTCCTAAAATTTGCAGGTTTTCTAGATTCTAAAATAATGAGAAATTTACTGAATACCCTAATAGCAGCTGCGAGCTAGGCGTGTGTAAGATAAAACCTATCTGCTTTTTGTAGACCTGAGCCTTAGGTATGTGTTCTATTTGAGGTTGTATTTTCTATAAACACCTTTTTTTTTTTTGAGAGGAAGGGGGAATTGATCTGTGATTTCCTAGAGCACTCCTGCCAATGCAAGGTGCCACCACCTCTGCAGCTTTGTCTTAGAGAGCTGCCTGGGGCACTGAGAAGTTGCCCAGGTTACCTTTCCTGTGGCCCTATGGCTAATGGGTGCCATTGATTGAGGTGGCCCTCTAGCTTCCATGCCAACACTGCCTCTCGTGAGTGTCATGGATATCCTAAGTGAATAAATATATTTACAAACATGGAGAATTACAAATGTAATGGTTGAAATCTTTAAATGAAAATTTCCATATTTGAGTTAAATAAATTCAAATACAACTGAAGCACTTCAGCCAGCATTTAAATTCTTCCATTAATTATTATAATAGCTAAGTGTTCTAGAAAATATACATCTAACATAGATATGACTGTATATTTAAATTCACTTCCCCTTGGGAACCTATATAATTTGAAAGATTTTAATTACAATCTTTCTTTTAGCCCTACAGGATCCCATGTTGAATGGTGCAAACAGCTTATAGCTGCTACAATTTCTAGTCAGATTTCAGGGTCGGTGCCATCTGAAAGCATATCCAGAGATTACCGGGTAAGTAACATTGCCGAATCCAATTATGTTTGATCCAAGTGCCTTTTACTTGTTAATGTGGTGGCAGAGTTGCTTTTTTTCAAGGTCTGGAGCTTCAACATTCGAATAAAAAAAAAGACGAAAAGGAAACCATCATCTGTTATAATAGCTATATCTTCAGAAAACTTGAACATAGTACTTTGACTCCAGTTCTAATAATTACTACTTTTGTTATTACCTTTCAGAAAAAAAAACCATTTTATTGTGAGTAAATTAATTTTCTTCATGAGTGTTTTGATTTGGAGAATTGGATATTTCCTTAATTTGAAATTTTGTCCTTGTACTTAGGTATGTGGCTAAATCTCACCGCAACAAAACATAAATTTTAATTATGTTCTTTACATGCAAAACCAGATTTTTTAGAAAACCACAAAATTCTTACACAATCAGCCCAGAAGAGTAGTATATGGGAAGCCGTCTTCTTAGTGCCCATTGAAGTGGTTGCGTTTCCTAATCGCAGTCCCTTGTTTGTATGCATTTGATTGCTTAAAAAACTGAATTTTTCCCATGTTCTGAAGTTGTGAATGGAGAACAAAAACCAAAATTGCCTATGTCCTGGTTAAGGAATGAACGTGTGTCTTAATGTCAGTCAATGCAAAATAATATTAGATTCACTAAATATGGGTTTATTTTTCTTCTGTCAATTATGATGGAACTCAAACTCCTAACTCTTCCCTTATCCTATAAGGAAAAAAAGGTAATCAGGTGAAGTGCAATTTTATAGAGCTCAAAGGGGCTTGGGTTGCCTGACTGAGATTTAGCCAGCATGTATTCTTTCAGACAAACTGTTGAAGTCATGATGGAACTCTTGAAGAAGAACATTGATGTAAGCGAAAACCCAAATCCCTGAGCCACTAAAAGTGTACTTGACAGCCAGTTTTCATGCCACCCAGCTTGGAGGGGCTGGAATTCAGTCGCCTCCAAAGTTCTTCTACCAAGAGTATTGCCAAAGTTGGAGAGCACTACCACCATGTGCAAGGAAATTGGAAGCAGAGATGTATCCCAACCTGAGTAGTAGCAGTAGCAGGCTGAGGACCCTCCAGTAGCATTATACTACTCTTAGACTGGCAAGTGATTGTTTTCATTGTTAGCGATTTTGTTGTTTCATCATTTCAGTCGTATCTTTGTGACCCTGTTTAGGGTTTTCTTGGCAGAGATACTGGAGTGGCTTGCCATTTCCTTCTCTGGCTCATTTCACAGAAAAGGAAACTGAGGCAAACAGGGTTAAGTGACTTGCCCAGGTTCACACAGCTACTAAGTGTCTGAGGCCAAATTTGAACTCAGGTCTTCCTAATTCCAGGCCCAGCACTCTATGCACTGCAACACCACCTAGCTGTCCTGTTAGTGATTAGGAACTGTTAATAATGTTACCATAGGTAAATAACCGAATGCTCTGTGAGTTACTAAACTGTTGAAGTCTGCCCCAAATAGTCATTTAACATTGGTATTCTGACTATTCTGACCTTTTAACAAAGCAACTGTTTCTTTGTTTTTAGTCTATTTAAAAAAATGTGTATGTATTGGCTTTGGTTTTCCTAGTCAGCAGCTAGTGTTATAATAAATATGCTCTTCCATAGTATGGAAGGGGAATTGCAAGTATGTATCCTGGGTCATAGGAAACTTGTGCTTTCTGGCTCTTTATCGCTGTCCTCATTGTACTTAGCCTGTAAAACGAGGATTGAAAGCGGTAGAATCACAGTCGGCAGACTAGGCAGTCACCTTCTCATTTGGTGTCACAGCTTCCTCAGAGAGCTTTTAACAAAGTAAGAATGATTTGCAAGATCAAGCTTGCATGGCAGCTTACAGGAAGTACTTGAACAATTAAGGTACCCTACAGTGGTGTTAGATGCGCTATAGGTGAGGACCCATTGGACTCACTTTTGATTGGTCCCTGCGTAGTATACATCACCAGATCAGCCCTCCCTAGGTTTAGTGCCTTGAGAAAGTAACCAGTAGGGATCAAGAATTGTCCCTTGAAATGAGCTATTTTCCATGTGTGTTATTTGAAATATACTAAGTTGGCCCCCAATTAAACGTTTATGTGGAATTTAGCATCAGAGATAGTTGTAAGGGTAGGTATTTTTGTTGAGCAGAGCACCTAAACATTCCCTTGAAATTTTATTGCTCTAAGTTTCCCGTGGGACTTAAGACTTTGCATGACCTTGTTATGTGGCCACTGAAGTTGCTGGTGATTCTGTTGTTCTGATATACATTCTTTCAAGTAAATGCTGACAGATTATCAGCTGGGTGATATAGAATAATCCTAGACATTAAAATGTTAAATGATTAAAAATTATTCATCTAGCATAGATTGAGTCATAAAGGGAGAAAGGGAGTATTGGGGATAACAAAACCCAGGTAACATAAGTGCATTCATTAATATTACTTCATACTAAAGATTAGCTTGAGTATGACCATTGGAAAAAAAGTTCCTATGTTTTGATATTAGCTAGCCATTAGTCCTCATGATTTGGTACTTTAAGGCAATATGTTAGTTTCTCCAGGCTGATAGATTACATTATCTGTCTCTCCTATTTTTAACAATTTAAAAACAAGCCTGGAAGATTATTTAACTCCAGATCAGACAGCCTTAGCACTAGTAAATGTTATAGTTGCTTACAGTTCTACTAAAAATAGTACTTTTATAAACTGTTAGTAAAAAGCAACTCGGGCGATGGTTCCCGTTGTATAGCACGTAAAGCTAAGCTAGGGAGGGAAAAATGCTATAGTAGAAAGAAAGCACTGAGCTGGGAGTCAAAAGAACTGATTTCTAGTCCTGAATCTCCTGCTAACTAATGCTGAACAAGTCTCTTCACCTCTGTGGGCCTCATTTTCCTCTTCTGTAAACTGAACAAAACTAAGTACTCTTCAAAGTACCTCCTAGTTCTGAAATCTATCACGTTTTAGTATCCAGCAGAAGAGTCCAGCATAGACTACCTCTTTTAACCGTTGCTGTTCACAGTTGCACAGAAAAGTCCCAAAGAGACAACTGTAAAGGTGATCCAAGATGGTAATCAAGAAGAGTTCGTTGAATTCAAATGCCGAAGGAAACTTAAAAAGAGGAGGAAACATTTGCTTTAGATTGCAAGCACACAACCTAAAACACAACTCTAAAAACGCTCAGCCATAGCTAAGCATCTGACCAAAGGTGAACAGATGGTGACTATTTGGCAAGAAAGGAAAAGCCCTTTGTCTGCTTAACTCTGTTGGCTTTTGACAATTTCAACAAAGAATTGGAAAGTAGGTTAGGGCTTGCTGATAGCTTGAAACAAAGAAAAGGTCTAGAGCTCAAAGAGATTTTGTCTAAAACCTCCCAGGCAATAGTGGAATGTATTAGTCAGTGTGGTGATAGTGCAGAATGAGAAGTGTACCTGGCCAACCCTCTGTCGCTTGAAGTCATGGGCTGGTACAGTGCTCTATGGGCTTGACACTGAAATTGGCCTCCAACATTTATTTTTGCCACTATCGCTTTTTATTATTGCTTTATGGGGGTCTGAATAAATTCTTACCTACCCCCACTGTCCTGCAGCTGGGAGCTAGCAGGTGTTCTGTGTTTGAACAGTCTGGCAACCAGTGTTTTTGTGTTACCTAGACACGGAAAGATCATGGCAGGTGGAGAAAGGCTCCTCAGAGGTCAGCTGGCCTGACCCATTTCTCAACAGGAATCCTCTCAACAGTATCTCAGACAAGTGGTCCACCAGCCTCTGCTGGAAGACCTCCAGGGATAATATGTTGTGACTCGTGTTAACACACAAAATAAGACGCACAACAAATACCATCCGATTGGGATTTCGCTACAGCAGAGGTGGCAGGATCAGACATCCCTACCTAAAGTGACAGTTGGACAAATGTGTCCCTTAGGTAATTTTTGGAGGCCACGTTGCCTTGCTCTGAAGGTGAAGTCCTGCTGTTTCCCCTTTTCATGGGCCAATATCCTTGGGATCCTGGCTTGCACCTTTCCTGCAGTGTTACTGACTACTCAGGCAGCTGTAATTAATTCTGTGCCGCTCTGAAAACACCCTTTAGTGATAGAAAGAAATAGTAATTAAGTTAAAACAATGGGAGGGGGAGTCCCAGCAGCTGATGATTGTTGCTCTGCTCTCTTCCCCTCAAAAGGTGTTTGATGTTTATTTGAAAGCACCTGACAACAACATTCACTATCTTTTCAAGGATAAAACAAAACCCCAAGTCAGAAGTTTGTATTGCATTTGTGTACCTTAGTAAAGTTCTCTCAAATTATGGTAGAGAAAAGTGTTTTCTCAAAGCCTATGTCCTTTATGAAAAAGGGAATCCATGTGCATCGTTCCAAGTTACCTGGAAATTTCTCATGATTTACCCCATGACTTAGCTTAGTTCAGTTTTCCTGACTCTGTAGCACTTAACTGAAAAACAGAGACTCTATGGCAGAGAGCCTTGGGGGTTTGGGGGGGGGGGGGGGCTGGCCTGGGGTCAGGAAGAGCTGGCTTCAAGTCCTGCCTCTGAAGGGTCCATGGCTGTGTGACCCCGGGGGAGGTCACTGAACCTCTCAGGGCTTCAGATAACTTTCCAAGAGCAGGGCTGATCGGCATTATTAGAAGGATTTTCCTTCACTAATGACATCAGTGAATCCACATACCCACTAATTTGCTAGACTAGTGAAATAAGATAGTATTTGTAAAGCACTTAGCACAGTACCTGGCACATAGTAGGCACTTAAATGCTTCTTCCATCCCTCTCTTTCCCTAATCTGGGGAAAATCTGTTGGTTTTTTATCTACTTTTTTTTCAGTGTATCTGGACAGTTGAACCAATTTATTTTAAATTATTATGGATTTCATTGAAGTGATTGCAGTATTCACAGATTTGATTCAATTGGAATGTCGTCATATCATGTGTTTACTTATCCAGTTACATGTTGTATTTCTACTGCCCCCAGTAGAATTTAAGCCCTGCCACATAATAGGTGTGTAATAAGTGCTGCATGGATTAGATGGCTTTTAAAATAATTTTTGGAGAACCTTGCTATCGATAAAGAATCCTTGTCTTTTGGACTCGATACAGGGTAGTCTTTATGACAGCGCCAAATACCTTACGTGAGTAAATGAGCAGATGTTTCCCTGTTTTATGCCTTGCTTCATGTCAGTTTTTATCAGGTCATTGAGCTATGTTGATCTGCATGTGCAACTCCCATAGAATCTCATGTTATTTTCACATGTGCATGGGATACATTGCTTTCACACAGCATTTATTCTCTTGAGTCAAATGCCAGGATTTTATTTTCTGCACTTAAATTGTCTGACTATAAAACTATAATCTACTGTAGGAAATTGTGCTGTTCGAGTCTCCCATTTGCATCAGAGATAGCCTCGATGTCTGCAGAGACTGTTCCTGTAGGGTCTCATAGAAATGAAAAAGTTAGTATGTAGGGCCCTGGTTGCTGTCATCTTCTTTCTCATTTTCCATGGTTGACAAGCTTGTTTACACATGTTAGGGGTTAGGGCAGATTTCATTGCAGATAGTGTTGTGTTATCTTTTATCTTTTGTTTGTTATTTACTTTGACCTTTGCTCCAACTAGTTGATGACCTGACTATATACAGGGAGCAGACATCTACTACATACAACAGGAGCACTAGACCTGAAGGCAGGAGTTCAAATCCTACCTTAGACACTTAGTAGTTGTGTCACCTAGGCAAGTCACTTAACCTTGTCAGCTTCAGTTTCCTTTCTGTAGAGGACAAAGATAGAGACCAGACCTGTGCTTTCATTGATATGGGTAACTCTCACATGATGATATGCCCGCTACCAATGCGGGTTGGCAACTCTTCTGCAAATTATAGTCTGAGAGAGTTTCCTAGAGCACTCAGAACTGCTCTAAGAAGTATGTATGTATCAGAGGCAGAACCTGAACCCTGGTCTTCCTAGATTTAAGTCCACCTCCCTATCCATTGTGCCTGACTGCCTCTCTTGTCCTCTGTACGTTGGGGGTGACAGTAGCAGATGAGAGAACGTATGTACAGTGCCCAGAACCCTTAAAACACTCTGCAAATCCTAGTTAGCGTCATTCAGATCTAGTCAGTTTTGGTTTGTGTGTGTGATGTAATGCATTCCTTGCTTCTTTATTTACTTTTGTTTCTTGAAAAAAATGTCTTCATGATGTATAAGGCTTTTGAGGAGTCCCCACGCCTTTGAGCTCTTTGCTTTTTTGGTCTCACACCATATTTCCCCATCAAAGCCCCATTTATCAAGGTCTATGTTAATTTAGTTTGTATTGTTTTTGCAATTTCCCTACTTCTTCATCCTTGGGAACTCCAACTGACGAGTACGCTTCAGTTCTCTTCATGGTGATCTGCAAGGTGAGACCATGAGTGTCCAGTGGGATGAGGTTCCTTCTGGAACCTTGAAGTGCAGCATGAAAGTAATGGCTTCATTCACTTACCTAAGATGAATGTCTGGGAGCTGTCCTTCCATTCAATTGCAACTTCTTTGTCAACGTGGATAAGGTCCAAGTAGTGGGACGACTTTGGAGGCTTTAAACAAAGATCACACATATAGGAGACTAATGATTAAGTTAATGTTTGGAGACTCGCTAAGATGCTTCTTAGCATCCTTTTCTGCTATGCTCCCTAGCTCTGTTGCCACTATCAAAACAGAAGGGGATCAAAGGCTGTTGTTTTTTTTTTTTAAATTCATTCATCACCTAGTGGGCAACCTCTGTGCTCTCAGCTAGGCTGGTCTTCAAACAACTGAGATGGTCCTTGGGCCTATATTTTTTTAAGCAATACTTAAGAAATAGAAAAAGCTAAGTAAATTGGATTTTTTTTTATATTGTGCTTCAGTTCAGCTTCAATTAAAGATACTTTAAATAATGACTGCAGATATTAGAATCATAGAATTTTTTAAGAGTTCAGTTCTTTATGGTCATATCATCTTTTTTAGTATTTCAATCCTTCTTGGTCATCTACTTCCAGTTAACAGAAGTAATACCATTAAACTGCTCAAAACAAGTGTTGCTGGGTTTTTCACTGAACATGTAGGAATCAGAGCATGGAATTGTATAGTTCAAAATGAGGGACAAGAATTTTAAAACTCTGCCCAACACTGAAGTTTTTACTCAAGTGGATATGTGATCTCATTTCTCAGGGTGATTCCCTCCATTGGTAATGTACCTCTGATGATGACTTACTGAAAATTTGTAGTGGCTTTTCAAGTAACTGCCATTCTACTTGAGTATTGCATCAGAAACATTATTGCTGACTTAATAGTCCTCAGGAGACTCACAGCTCTTGGAGGGCAGGGCCAGTTTCCAATTTTTTCCCCTCTGTATCCTCTGGGCTAACACAATACTAGCATATAGTAAACACTTAATGGATTCTCATTGAATTGGATTGTTGAATGGATGACTCGGGAAATATTTCTTACATTGGATTGGCTGCTTAAGACAGGGACTCATCTCCCCACGAATGTTGGGAGCCCATTCTCACCTACTTTGCTATTATGCCAGGAGCCTCAGCCAAGGTATATTCTTGGCATGTTGAGTTGCAGCTCAAGACAAGGTTGCACAGAGTTACCATGTGATGGGGATTTTTGTTTCTATGGTACTGTTGGTACAGCCTCCAATAGAATGCCATGGTAGCTAGTCCATAAGTGTTATTCGTTTATATCATGGGGGGATGGTTGTTTCTGAACTACTGCTGTAATATTTTA